CATTGTATCAATCACATTATAGTAGAACTCGCAAGTAGCAGAAGACTGAACATAGCCATAGTTGGTGATGTTGGAGTTGCAAGGTATGCAAACAACGTCCCACATTAGTGAAGGGGGTGATTTATGGTATATAAGAAAGGACCATTATCTCTATTGGTATAAGGCATTTTGGATGAAACCAAAAGTAAAGCAATGAAGGCTATGCCAAAAGCGAACAATATCGTACTATTGTGAAGATACGTGGGGTATTTGGGGTACCGTTGTCCCAACAAAAAAATCTAACTGTGTGGGATTGATAGGAAGCCTATCACAGTCGGGTAGACTGATAGGAAGAGTGGTGTAGCTTGTTCGAGGGGAGTAAGGTGCGATAGAACGACTCTTGGTGTTCCCACAAGATGGTCTGTGTAGCAAGTGATCTATGTTGAAGTGCTGGACAATTATCTCCATTGGTATGAGGTCTTTTGGGTGAAACCAAAAGTAAAGTCGTGTGCGCTTTACTTATGATATCGAACAATATCATACCATTAGGGAGATTTGAAAAAAATTTTGGAGTACGAATATTTGAGTTTTGCAGACGTAGGTTTAGATAAGCTAAGATACTGGTGGATCCAAAATATATATTTTTTCTAGTGGGTTTTGGTATACTAACTATTACATTCAAAATAACTTCAAATTCGTAGTACATATGACAAAGCAAAAGAAACAATGTACCCTAGACAATTATAAAGCAAAAGAAACAATGTACCCTAGACAATGAATTTATAAATTGTTGACTTTAGACTTTGCAAAATTTAAATTATAAATTATATTAAAAAAAAAGTCGAATCTAAAACATTTGATGATTTATAAGGAAGGAAAAATAACATTTGGTACAATAATTTATAAAAAAAATAAAATACTACCTGACAACATATAAATTGAAAAGAAAGATATGCTTTGAAATTACCGGCAACATTAGACTAAAGAGATGACAAATATGTATAAATCGTAAAGAATTTATTTTAAGTTCAAAATACATGCGGTGATTTCATGAGCAATTTTACTTTTAGAAAATTGAGGTTTTAAATATCTTCTTTTTTTTTTTCCTTTTTAAAAAATTGACATATTTATATGAAGAAAATTGATTAACAAAAACAAGAATGTAACTAGAGTCGAACATGGGTAGGCGAGGGGAGGCTTATGCACTAATTTTACCGTGCCAAAGGAAATTTTTGAAGGAATTAATTTAGAACTAGTTGCAAATATGGCAAAAATATTCAGTAAGATTAGCAAAATAGAAACCACATTTAGTTTTTAAAAAAAAAATATATATATATATATATCACTTCAACAAAAAACGAAATGTCCAATTTTAAAATAACAACTTTACTCAAATGATATATATCTCTAATATATCCATAATATATTTGTAATATATCTAACTATTTATATATGTATGTGACATACATCTGATATACTACTAATATGAGTATCTGATATACTTGCAATATGTATGTGATATATATATGATATACTACTGATATAAGTATCTAATATACTTTTTTTTCTTTTTTACTTTCTTACTCATATAAGTAAAAATTTGTACTATATTTGAAAATTTTGAAAAACAAGTGACATACTTTGAGACACATAAAAGATTTTTGTTGCCCACCGTAATTTTCCATTAATCTATATATAGTGTTGGGTTTTGGCAAAATATTGGAATGGAAGTTGTCCCTGGAAGAATACAATGATGGTCTCCATGTGCTTGAAGTTGTCCCACATCGGAAAAGTATAAGGAGGAGGTGTGTTCCAACTACTATAAAAGGAGCTCATGGGTTTGAGTTTTAATGATATATCTGCTCTGGTTAACTGAGTGGTATTTGCTTTGAAAGAGTATTTTGTGTAATTGGGATTGGAGAAAAAAAATATGTGTGATTGTAATAATTTTTCACATAGTGGATTTTGGCCATGGTTTTTTCTGCAGTTTGGAGTTTTCCACGATAATTCTTGTGTTTCTTTATTTTATTACTTTCTTTAAATTTCTCAGTTATTTTCTGCTTATTCCTACAGTTTCACAGTTGAGAGACACACAACCTCCTAAGTCCATTGTAGATCGGCCCCTAAACTAAGAGGTTTAAATGAAAGGTTCAAGTTGCGTTTTGTTTATGCAAGAAATTGCACTACGTCAATCTAGCTCGAACCCAGTCCTTGCTCCAACCCGAAACGCTAAGCGAAGACCAGCACAAGAGGGCAAAATCTCTGACGCTCAAGTCAGTAAGCAACTCAGACTCAATATTAAGTTCGAGGAGAAATTCGATACCTGATGGTGAAATGAGGCTCTCTATTTATAGGTTTAGGTTCCGATAGAGGATCCGAGGTGGTTACCTTGGTCAGGTTAGAGGTCGGATGTGTCGGGTTAGAGCAGATCGAACACGGACACTTTCTTGGAAACGACAGGTTAATTCCTTAATAGGAAATGACAAGACTTCCATCTCGGAAGGTTTCGATATGGAGCTCTACAAGTTTGTTCCTTTGAATCTTCTGTCAGCGACGAATCTCTGTCCTCCATGTCGCAATAGGATTTTTCATCCCCAAACATCGGCCCCCTCTTTGCCAGGTTCAATCTCGATCTAGCAGAGAAGTTCTCTTTGTAAAAAAAAACCAATCCACGTTGTGACTTCCGACGCCATCATAATAATTAATGTCATTGGAAAAGCTTGAAAACAGAACCGACGTACGGCGCACACTTGAGTATCCCTGACGTTCGAACTTCTTCCGATCTGGGTCGTCGAATTTTGGACACGTGTGCGGTGAGAATTAAATCTCGGGTTATTATAAATACCTCCAAGACTTTATCTCCGCTTTTTACGCTTTCTGAAATCTTGGAGTCCGACTTGAGCAGATTGGAATTCAATCTAGGTCAGTCTCGTACTCTTTGTTTGTTTTTTTTTTCTTTCTCTTGCTTCATAATTTCTCTTTTCGAGTCATGTCTAATTCTTCCAATTCTTCCAATTCTTCTAGTTCTTCTGATAGGATAGGTCAGAGTCGGAGCCCTTCTCCTAAAAAGGCAGACTTTGTTGAGGAATTTGCGAATAGATTAGACTCCGAGCTGGAAGAAGAAATAGATAACTTTAGGTTCCCTGATGAAAACGGGGATGATAGCGACACTTCTACCTCGGGCCAGGGTTTAAAGTGTCCCTCTCAAATGCCCGAAAGCTATCTTGGTTCCCTCTGTAGGAGATACAACATTCTGTATAACATCATTCTTAGGCTTCCCAAGGAAGGGGAACGAGCTGACAATCCTCCGGAAAGATGCGTGACCTTGTCCTTGAAGATGTTCGAGTATGGCTTCCGCCTGCCCATTCATCCTTTGGCGCAAGAGCTCTTTGTCTGAATTGGGTTGCCCCTGCTCCAGTGGCCCTCAATGGGTGGGGTATAGTTGTTAGTTTAGGTGTGTTGTTCTGGCTTAGGTGTCGAGAGGTAGAAGAGTTAGATCTCGTTAGAGTCGACCAGCTTTTAGTATGTTTCGAGGTTAAATGAATTTCTAGAAAACCGGATCAATACTACTTGTGAGCTAGGAAAAGCACGGAAGGGATCCTCAAAGGGTCGACCTCCATAAAGAAATGGGTCGACAAATGGTTCTTCGCCTCCGGAGTGTGGTTGGCTAGGGACAAGTCCAACCAACCTTTTTACAACGTCCCCTGTAGGTTTGGGAATTTAGGTAAGGAATAGACTGTTCGCTTTCATCATCTTTTTTTTTTCTTTTATGTTCGGATTGCTTACTTTTCTATCTTTCACAGTTGTTGTCCGACCTATCCCTTAGCTCTCCTCGTCCACTTTCAATATCCTGAAATTTTACAAGGACCAATTCAAGAGCGATAGGAAAATCAGCAACTTCCTGACCGACAAGCTTATTGCGGCTTCAGGCCTACTCGACTACAACCCACTGCTCGTTCCTCCTAAAGCTCATAGACCCAACTCGGAATTAGGTAAGTCGTGCTCAATCTTTAATTCATAGTTTGTTTATGTTTTTTAGTCAACTAAGCTGGTTCATTTTCTTGCTTTAGCGATGGTTTGTGGTTTTTCTCAAGACATAAGGTGGAAACGTCCTCGTCAGGGGCAGTCTTCTAAATCGAAGGAGGCGCCGAGCTCAGCTCTGCCCGACCCACCTACCGAGGTCGAAATGGTCAATGTGGAGTACAAGGCCCCCACTTTGCAAGGCGCGCAGGCGGTTGACGCCTCTCTGGATCGAGAGATCCTTGATTTCTCTCCCTTTAGGGAGGTTCAGAGGAAGACCTCCCCAAAAAAGTCCAAGAAGAAGAAGTGCAAGGCTAACTCTTCCGAGGACGTTGTAGAGGAAGTTCAGGTTGGCCCGTGGTCTAGCTCTTTTGGAGATCTAATCGACGACCCGGCTGCAAGAATAGGTGGCACCTCCGACATCGAGATGAGATTTAAGGTTGAGCCGTCGAGCACTGGGGTAAAGGAAAAGGCCATGGAGATGTCGAACTACTGCTTCGACCGTTGCTAGAGGAGGGCTTCTAAGTTTGTTAGCACTCTCGGGTCGGCCATCCAACGACTGTTGGACTATAATGCTAAGGTGAGACCTGACCTGCATTCTTTTGCTTTTGTAGAATTACCTTTTATGCTAACACTTTGGTTTTATTTTCACACGCCCATAGGCTCACGTTGCGGCTTGCCAGACTGCTATTATGGTGAAGGCCGAGGTGGGTGGGCGCGACCTCTTGACTTTGAAGGAATGCGAAGTGTCATCGACCGCTCTCAAGACTGCCACGACTTTGGAAAGGGAACTCAAGGAGGCCCGAGCTAAAGCCCAAGCATGGAAATCTACCTCAGAGGCCGATAAGGCCGAGCTGTAGAGCGTGAAGGTGGAGGCTGACTAGCACATGGAGCATCTGAGAGGTGCGCACGCTGTGGCCAAGGGCCTGGAAAAGAAGAAGTTTCCGCTGAGGAAGGAGAATGATGAACTTTAGCGCTTCCGAGAAGACCTGGGAGGCAAGCTAAAAGTCTGTGACTCCGAGGACGGCAGAGCTGAAGGGCAAGCTTGAGCTGGCGAAGTCCAAACTCAGCAACAGGATTCTTCTGGAAGAAGCCTTTCGCCAGCACCCTGACTTCGACGAGTTCGCTAAAGACTTCAACGATGCTGGCTTCTGGTTCCTGATGAAGGGGTCAAGGAGGTAGCTCCCGAGATCAACCTTGCACCTATCAAACTCAGGTATGCCCAGAAGTGGGCCTCGGGTCCAAACAGGACTCCTACTCCCAAGAACTTTATGGAGCAATGCCTGAAGAAGCTCGAATCTGACACCAAGCTTAACAAGGGGGAGGACACAGGGTCTTCTTCCCAAGAGGCTGATGGGGCCCCCTTGCAGCTGCTGGCGTGAACTCCTCCCAAGAGGTTAGGATGATAGACTCTGAGGAGGTCGACATCCTAGGGTCTCAAGGCGAGTTCAGGTCGCACCTTGGAAGTAGTTGTGGCTTCTCCAACTCTTTCGACTTTCTTATCATATTTTCACTTTTTGATCATCTGTACTGGGTCTCGAGGTCTATACGCCTCGGCCCAAACTTTTAAGTATGCATATACTGTTTCCTTTTTAGTTCTTTCTAAGTTCGCTTCATCGTGTCTTGAACTTGTAATTTATAAAGCGTTAAATTTTTCTAAGTTTTAGTTCACATCTTAGTTCGAACTCGTAAGTTCTAGAGGCTTTAATTTTTCCAAGTTTTAATCCTCAGCCGGCCCCCATTTAATTTTACGTCGAACTCAGACCCTTAGGAGACATGGAATTAAACAACACGAAGCCCTTTAGTGGGGCTAACCCTTGAAAATCTTTACAAGTCCCGTTTACTTTTGGACCATTTCCACATTTCAAGGGTAATATCGCTTCAGATGCTCTGCGTTCCATGGATGCGGGAGTAACTTTCCTTCAAGATCGGCCAGCATGTATGTTTCAGGTCGTACTATGCCTTTGACTTCAAATAGCCCCTCCCAACTCGGCTCTAGCGTATCCACATGCTTCTGCACCTTACGGAGGACCAGGTTTCCGATCTGGAAACTCCGAGGCCAGACTCTCGAGTTGTAATGCCTTGACATTCGTCTTTGGTACTCTGCCAGGCGTAGTTGGGCCGCTTCTC